AGGCAATCTTTTTCTTCTTCGATTCTGGGACCAGAACTGAAGATGACTAAATTGTGTGAGTTCACAATGATTATACACACCCCATTTAATGTGCGTTTTTAACAGCAAAGTAGTCCAGTATACTTCTGTTCAAATTTTGGCACCAACACTGACCAACGTTGGCTATGCTCTGAATCTCAAAAAACTTCTTTTTTTAAATGTAGAAAATGGGGATAGTAGTATTTCTGAGGAGATATCACAATTATTAAGTGAGATAGTAAATGTCTAGCCCTTAGGTAGTACGTGATACATAACTGCTCAATAAATGTAAATTAACTTATTATCAGCTTGAGAATCAGAGTGGGGAAGAATAGTATTCCCTGCAGAAAATTTGTATCATGGAAAAATATTCCATTGACCTCTAGAAGAGTCCTAATTAACAATATTCTGATTCTCATTTAGAAATTGCAATATCCTGGTTATTGTAGTTTCTAAAAATTCCTTTTAAATAATATTAAATTGGTATTTTCATAATCATTTAAAACATATTTAATTAAGTTGAATTATTTTTATGTGAATTCATTTTTGTGTGTCTTCTTTTGATGGCATGCTATTTATAGAATAGAAGTGATAATTTTTTGTTCTTTCTTTAAAATACTTTTTCAGCATATTAAAAGAACAAGAATCTGTTTCCATATATGTACTACATGGTACTTTTTTCAGATTTTTCACTATTAATTGCTTCTGCTTTTTTGTTAAACTTTGGAATTCCATAATTTATCAAACGTTATTGTTTTTATCAATTGTTTTTATGTTTAGAATGCTTTTGGTTTTAACAAGTAAAGCATACTTTAATTCCTAGAAATTTTATATGGATGAGACAGATGAATATCTCCCAATCCCAAAAGAGATTGGAAATGAGTGTTCTTCTCTATGCAGATATGGATGTTTATTCTTTATTGGAGTGTGAATGACTTTGAAGATGGTTCAAGATCAATTAATTAAAAACCCAAACTTTCAATTTGGAAGGTATTTTTTTTTCCTTTGATTACAGTGACTTTTACTTTGGATTTTAGGAAGACTGAGGTCAACTGTGGGATTCACTGTAATAGTGTATTGAGTATTACAGGATGATTTTTAGTTGCATTTATTTACATTTACATTTACATTTATTCCAGCCATCTTATTCTGTTTATTCCTTACCATTACTCTCTTAGAAATATGTTTTTTATTCAATTGAATATATTTGTATAAGAAATCTGAGATCCTTTCTGGCAAGATGCAAGTTAAATAACAAAATAAATAAAAATATAATAATCAAGTTAATATTGAATAAATTATAATAAATAAATAATGAATATGCCAAAAAAGTTTCTGTTATAGAATAGTTCTTTGTCCATTATTCCAGACATATGTCTAAAGCACAAATATTTACCTACAAGGGATACTTAGAACCTTTCATTACTTGAAGTCAAGGATGTTAGAGAATTACATTAAATTACATTAAAGTAAAGGATGTGAGAGAATTAGGAAGGATGGTTTAAGGTCCTAGAGAAAATTAAGAGTTGAGATCAGGATATATGCTGTGGAAGTGGGCAAGAAAATTAGAAACCATTGCATTGATATGTTTTGGTTAGTGCTATGGTTCTGAAATAATAAATCTACTGAGAAGTCTGAACTTAGGAATTCAGTTCTTGGAACTATTTAGTTGTATGGTACTGGTCATGGTGGAAAGTAGAAGAAGCATTCAATCCACTTAACTTCTCACACTGAGATAATATTTAAAGAAAAGTACAGTCTATTCATTAGGTTTTACAATTTTAAAAATGACTTTAGGAATTATTCTAGAAAGTATCTTCATAAATGAAAGATTCTTCACTTCTTAACTTATTGCCTAAAGCATGTAATGATATTTAGTTTTATGTATCCAAACATCTTGGCAGCAATTTCCTCTGAGGCAATAGAAATAAATCAGGCTGAACAATCTCCAAAATTCCTTAAAACAAAAAAAAAAAATGGTATTTTATGACCTTATAATCATTAAAATATACAAAAAGTTGTAAATGACTATTCAATTGCATCCCTTTAGGCAAACTTAAATATGGGACCTATAATATTAAGATTTGCTCATTGAACACTCTCTCCTTTTGTTAAGCTTCCAAAAATATAGGCTTAGCACTGTACTTTACAGGACTCTATAAAACATTTGTAGGTTGGATTTTTTTGTTTGTTTATATTTCGTACTGTTTTATCAGCTTCATTTTATAAATACAATTTAGTCAAGGAATTAAAGATTTTAAAGGTGAAAGTGTGATTAACACATGAGGAATCCAATATAAAGATTTTAAGATGTTGTTCGAGGTAATCTAGGCAGTCAGTGTCAAAGCCAAGACTAAAACCTGGCTCTCCCGATTCTCAGTCTATAATACTTTTGGTTATGATAACCACATTAGGTGCAATTTGTGTGTGTGTGTGTGTGTGTGTGTGTGTGTGTGCATCAAATGTTGCAGTATATTAGTCCTTTTGAATGACAAACCTCGACATGAGCCTCCACACCTCCCACTCCAGTTGTACTTTAATTCTCATGTTTTTATAGGTAAGTTGAATGATTTTTTGTTTTAATAGTGTATGTCTGTAAGATAGTTATTAATTTCTAGGCACCTGAGTTCCTCCATTAGTAAAAGACAATAGTATTTTAAACTATTACACTGTGGTTGTTTACTGTTTTGGAAAAAAGATGATCAATGTAAAGCCATTTAAAGATGAACATTCACAAAATTTGAATTTGTTGCATGTGTGCTACAGTTCTTTCCCTTTGCTTTCTCCAAACTATTTATCTACAGGAACATGGGTGTGTCTTTGTGATCTCACAGGAGCACAAAGACTTGGCCATAGTGCGAAAGGATGGGTGAGAAGTTAGTGTTTCAGAATAAAATAAGATTGTTGATTCAATAATTAGTTTCTATTATTATTGACAAAGAGATAGGAACTACCACCTTTAGACTATTCGAATTACAAGCTTGGCAAAAATTGGCAAGTCATAAAAACAAGTAGAATTTATGTCTATCTTGCAACGTGTATACAGAGGTAATGAGGTACTAATGACGTCATCGAGAAGCCAGCAAGGTCATGCTAGATGGAATTCATTCATTGTGTGCCTCCTTCACTGGTTGGGCTGCCCCTCATTCCAATTCAAACTTTTTTTAGATTGGCATACACTTCTCCACTGTGGCAACACTTTACCATGAGGCTTTTGTATTGAATGCTTTCATGGTTTTCTCTTATTTTCCAACGAACTTAGTCTCCTAAGCTCTGCACCTTAATGTTTTTGGCTACTCTGTAGTCTAGAAACCTGTAAATTCTAGCTAATGTGTAACCATTCTTTGATCAGTTGCACCTGTTCAGATAATGATTTCACTGTGCATAGAAATTGGAAAAGTTTAGCAATCCATCAGAATAACTGCAGAAACTTTTCTGGGAAGGAGTCGACTTAAGCAGCCATAATATCAAATCGTAAATTCTTACATAAAGATAAAGTGTAAAAGCAGCAGACATCTTTGATTTATATTTTTGTTATAATACTGGATTCTAAATTGTGCTTCTCCTGCTCTTTGTGAATGCCTAGTAAGGAAAACAGTATAATTCCACCTTGAAAAAATTATTAAATGGGAAAAACTTGTCTTCCAGGATTGAAGAACCTCTAATGTCTCAAATTTCAATTTTTTTTTCCAAATAAAGCCCGTACTATTCCTTCCATCTCACCCTCAAAATTTGTTCTCAAGTTTTTTATTTAGATAAATAGTAAAATGAAGTAATATCTCAAGTTTATTATAAGAGATACTTTGGTTTTAGCAGCATTGCTTATTTTAAACTAAGTATTTAAAGTTAGCCCTACTCTAAAAAATTTTGGACATCAACAGTTTCACAGTAGAGAGAGATATAGACAAGTAATACATTCTTAATAGAGGAGAAAATATACTTTATCTCTCCTTTCTCAGAAACAGAAAGTGTAAGAGTGGGAAAAATGAGAAATCCTGTAGATTTCTCTTGCCTCATATTATTACCTGATTTTGGTGTCCTGGTCACCAAGATTCCATATTCATTATCAGATGCATTAAGCATTGACCTCTGGAAAATGAAGTTATCTTCTAACTTGCCAATATTTCCCAAAGGAACTCTTCAGGAATTCTTCAGCATAAAGAGTGTAGTCTTAGAGGCAATATTCTTTCTCATCATCAAAGACTCTCATACATCACTTACCAACTTTAGGTACTGAACTGACCTACGCAATTAAATACCTTCAACAAACTAACAAATGCACACACAAGAGGTGTGCCAGGTTTTGACATTTTAAAATTAAATGTATACAACTAAAACATATAGTTTGTAACTCCTGATATAGACTTGAATGCATGAACACTAACTAAAATTACAATGGTAAAAAATAGATCCCCGCCAGTTTTATCAGTGATTCCTTCCATGCTGAGTGTTAACATGTTAATGTCTCATCGTATGGAAACCACACCTGATGGTTTACTGATTTGGACAATTTGATTTTGGATGTGACTTTCAAAGCAACTTCATGTAGAAATATATTTTTTTTAGTTGTTCATTTAAAATTAAATGGATATATTTTGGGGATGTTTAATGTAGAATTGGAATTTTGTTATACAAAGACAAACTGTAAGATGACTTTTATACATACCACTTTACATTAAAAGATTGTCAAGGATTTTTTTTCTGTATTTAAAAACAGAATATTTACTTTACATATTAAGTTGAATTAAAGTTTTTGATTAATTTATAAAAGATTTTAATTTGTGCATGTTAACATTTATTGCCAGTTGTACTTTATATTTCTGATTTTTTGAATAATACAATTTAAAGTCTTTACATTTATGATAAAATGAATGTTAATTACTCAGTTCCAATAAGTATAAAAATAGAGCCACAAGAAAAATGTTATAAAGGTATTTTGTATTTTCTCATGCTTTTAAAGTACATATCTCTTTGCATTTCAGAGCTCTTGGATTTGAACAGAACGTCAATATTTCACAGTCCTTTCGGATATCTTGATCTTCATACAATGCTGCTAGATGAATATCAAGAACGGCTCTTCGTGGGAGGCAGGGACCTTGTACATTCCCTCAGCTTGGAACGAATCAGTGATGGCTATAGAGAGGTACAGAAACATCAAACTATATTCAGGAGGAAAAGAAAAGGGAGAAATCGCCAAAATGTTACTTGACTTATTTTTTCATTGTGTTGACCACTTTAAAATTTTGAGAGATTACTTTATTCAAATAAAATATTTATTAAAAATGAAGTCATTTTGAGAAAAGTGCATAAATCATCATATATGAACTTTTCTAGCACACCACTGATTTTTGAATTCCCAGTCTCCTGCCTGATGCATTTGACATTCCTCTTGCATCATCGCCCTTGTCACCACACCCACTGTCCTGAGACCTGGGTTTGGAGCATGCTGAATTACCAGCAGTTCCTCTGGGTTTCATTGCTCCAAAATCCAGGCTTGAAGAAATATGGGCATGTGACTTCAGTATGACTACTTCATAGTACTTCATGTGGTTGGATTGGTAATATCACTAATTCAGATGGATGCTTCTTAAACCTTGTGGATTAATGTATGATATCAAAATAAGTAAGTGTCCAACATCTTTTGGAAAAGGTAAACTGTGGCAAGGAGAAAAATAGTTCTTATGATCTATAGTTATACAGAGTTTAATTGAGTTAAAATTTTTAGACCCATATCAATTTTACAGGAAAAAGAAAGAAATATTTAGAACACAGTATTTTTGGCACACATGCATGTATTTCGTAATACACTTTCACTATAATTTATTTTTTTATTAATTCATTCATTTTTGTTTGTGAAAATGAGCCATGTGCTTATTTTCTAAAGTCATTTAAAAAAAAATATGATGAAAAGCAGCATCCCTTGGTCCCTGTCAGTTCCCTATCCCTAGAGAATATCATTTTTAAAAATTTGGCTGTTTGTTCTGGTTCTTACCTCTACATTTCTAAATAATATTTATGTGTTGTTCTTTATTGAAATCTTCAGATTTAGGCAATATCTGTTAACTTTAAGAAAGACGAGAATTTTAGTTTTCTTGTATTTGCATTACCCCTGTTCAAATACCTATGCACGACATGTTGCCAGCAACCCTCCAATAATCTGGCCTCCGTCTTCTCAATTTAGTTATGCCACAATTATTGGTTAAATAACAATTTCGTCTTTACATTATTATGATTAGGAAAATAGTTTTCACCACTGAGCTACATAGTGTAAGTTTATCACAACTTTCTTTCTTTCTTTCTTTCTTTCTTTCTTTCTTTCTTTCTTTCTTTCTTTCTTTCTTTCTTTCTTTCTTTCTTTCTTTCTTTCTTTCTTTCTTTC